CATCCTGTGACCTCGTGTATTGTCAACTAATTTCGCCTCAGACGAGCACTTCTGTCACCCTTATAGGAAGGCCTTTAAAAGCTTTTCAATTATGTCGAACACCCAGGTCTCAGGATCAAACACACTTTTTAAAATAGCAAGCACTCAGTCAATTACTTTCTATTTTATAACAATGTATACTACAGTTAGTAAAGAAGATAACAGCTTCTTCTCTTTCTATCAGCATTTAAAAGTGTCAACCTAAAGAGACTACTTAACCCAAGAAAATCTAAGATTGTTGGCCACAGGAAGAAATCAACAAAACAAGGAATAGAGAAGATGAAGCACATGTGGAAGCTTTCAATATGCAATATTAGGTATGTGTCTTGTTCATTACCATTTCCATTCTCTTTTTTTGATTCAGAATTGTTGCGTTTTCTTTTCCATTTGGTTGGTATTCCCAAAGGGTTCAAGTTGTGCACTGTCAGTGGACAAAAATTTTACAGTATCAGGTAAATTTACCTGCTAATTGATATTGCAGGTTTGCCCTTTCTTTCCATACTTCTTTTTCCTTTTTCTAAAATTAATATAAACCCTCCATCTCTCCTCCAAACCCTCCCTCCATGGTCTCTTTCTTTGATTGTCCTTCTAATCCCATATTCCTCTGATCTTCTTCATGTGATAAAAATACCTAATGCAATATAAGATTTTGATGCCAATGTTCTATGTGATATCTAAGGGTTCAAATGCTTCTCAAGTAAAAAATAACATTGAAAATCATCTTAAACATCATACAATAAACCCTTCAAGTTGAAGATTCTCCAGATCGAAGGTCAACAATGGTTAAGCTGTTGACGATAAAGTTCACAGTATTTGAGATGTTGAAGAGTTACTCGACCTTAAATTCCAGTCCTTCATTGTTTGATTTTTAGACTTATTATGATGAATAAATTCCGAAAAATATGGCAGACATTAGAATTTGATTTATGTTAGAAAGGGAAATCAATGTGATATCTGTCAAAAAAGAAAGAACTGATTTGAATAGAGTACAACTAGGACCCTACAGGTCTTTTGTTTTACCTAGATCCAAATTTTATAAAACTACCATGTTTATCTTTTCATTTACTGATAGCATAAAAAGCATTGTATACTGACTGTGCACAGACCTTAAACTCAATCTCAAACTCAAATGATATTACATGAAATAAAACAAAAGAAGAAACAATGGTTCTTATTCAGAATGTCCAATTGAATATGGAGCAGACTATGCAAAAGTGTTGGAAGGTTTATTTAACTTTTCAAAATAGGCATGATAAAATAGATAAGACACCTTAACTTTGGCTCAACTGGCATGAACACCCCAACTGTGAAAATGCACATTTAGACACCTTTACTTGGTTTAAGTTGGCTCCATAACATTCCAACTTTGAGAATTCACCACCTTAAAAGTGACTAGATGTGCATTTCCAAAGTTAAGGTGTTCGCGAGACACAACTGTTTCAGATTGAAGTACCTTGATGGTCACATGAAAGTTGGGGTGTTCAATTGTCAGTGGAGGCCAAGTTAAAAGTGTCTTTTATTCTAGATATAAACTGGTTCCATAATATATTTAGGGCCAAAACAAATATTGATTTCCTAGCAGGAATTTAAAGAAGTGACTAGAAGAGAAGAATTTGAAAGTTGTTAGGGTAGTGAATAAGTTGTTCTAGAGGTTACATGTTTTCTTTTGCAACAAGATCAGAAACGCCATATTTTAACCCAGCTAATATCTGCATAAGAACTGTGGTTACCCTGCAATGGAACTCCACTTGTTGAGTCTCTAAACAGCTTACTGTATCAGCAATCAGAGATGCAGTATTAGCATAGAATGGAGAACCACCATCCAAGTCCAAAGCAGCAGATTTGTAGGTGTGTGCATCAACACTGTCATCATTTATCAAACTTGATGGGTTGATAACAATGAAGGATGTAGGTATCAACATAAAGTTGTCCTGCGCACTGGAAAAAGAACTGCTAGGTAAATAGCATAAATGCTACTCCATGTTAAAAAAAGAATATTCATATATTATTAATGCACCAATAATGTCATGGCTCCAGGCATGCATAATGTGCACTGTAGTATCAAAAGAAGCAATCTTTGTCAAACAGTGCCGTAAAAAAGGACTAGTGATTATTTATGTTGTTTTTACTGTATATTTTGTCAAACATAGAAAAATCTGTTAATGGAGCATATAATACTTGATAATGCAGGATATGTAGAAACTTATAGGTCAGAAATATTAAAATGTTTCAGAATCTTCTCTAGATATTAATCTTCCTTTCATGTGTCAAATATGCACTCACATGACAAAGCTAATTTAGTGAAAAGCAATAATAGCACCTAGCAATTGCAAGAGAAAATTGTAACTATAATCTACAAAATACTTCATAGTTTTTGCTAGAATAGAATAGGTATACACAATCCTACACAGAATAGGAATAGTTTATAATCTCCTCTTAGGTCGGGAATTGTATTGTAATGTCTATAAATAGCGTTCTCTATGTAATAATTAAAACAACAATTCAATAATATTCTTCTCTAATATTTCTCACATGGTCTCAGAGCAATTGTCAGAAAAAAAAAAATTGCACTGTGCAGTTTTTTCCGGTAACCTAGGCTGTCCGGGTAATTAATATTTTCCGTCACTATTTATAAAAATTAACACCACCACTAGATGCGGAACTTCAGGGCGACCAAAACCCAGTCATCCCCGCCGGAAACCAGTGCCACACGCGCCGCCGGAAGAATTTCTCCGGTGAATTGTTAAATCCATGCGTAGGCGCGTGACACCTGTTCCGGCCAGTTTCTCGATAATTGTTTTTTCTATCTGGGTCGCCTCTTCATTCCGAGGCTGACCATATAATTTTTCCCGATTCCGACCAATATTTGGCGATCAGATCTACTTTTCCAGCAAGAACCTATTTTTTCTAGATTTTGACAAAAAAAAAGTTTTTTTGGCTGCTCATTAAAGTTTTTTATTATTATTATCATTATGTTGTGGATGCGTTGGAAGTTAATTTAAGTATTTAATTATTTATTTAGTAGCTTATTTATTATTCTAGAATAAGATTTATATTTCATAGTTTTATAACGATTAGGTTAAGTTATAGTTATTAGATTGAGATAGGATTTAGGTCTTCTACTTTCATAAGAATTAGATTTTCTATTAATGTAATAAGTCTCCTATTTAAAGGGGCTTTTGATGAATAAATTATTAAGTCATATTTAAGTAAAACGTAAGAGATCGGAGTTCTCTCTTCCATTAAACTCTAAGGTTTCAGGCTCCCTTTAATGAGCTGAAGTTAATACAAAAATAGGTCAATCTAGTAATTCGAACAAAGGCAAGGGAAAGTCGAAGTCAATTGATTTAGATTTTCCACTTCATGGTCCTGTGACTCGATCTCTCTCTAAGAATCCTACCAATTTGGTATCAGAGCCTAACAAGATGAGCAATGAGATCAGTTCCAAATTTCGCGATGAGATCAATTCCAGGTTTCAAGAAGAACGTGCGATTATAGAACACTAATGGACTCTAAACTTGCAGCTATGGAACAACGTCTCGGTGAAAGAATTGTTCAAGTCATTCAAGAACAAATTTCTAGCCTGGGAATTGGCTCTACAAAACCAGTAGTCCATGGGGTAGAATCAAGTAATGCCCTGACAATTGAGAAATCAACAAATTCGACTCCTAGAGACAATACACAGTGACCTATTCAACCAACTGTTCATAATCGTCAAACTAGTGGTAATTCCAATTTGACAATACCAAGCTATACAAGGGTGGATTTTCCTAATTATGATGGAACCAACGACCCACTAATTTGGGTATATCGTTGTGAGCAGTTTTTTGAAAATCAACATACAGCAGATGCAGAAAAGATTAGAGTGGCTGGATTTCACATGTTGGGAGAAGCACAATTATGGCATTATTAGCTTACGAGCAATGGGGCCAATGAGCTTGGAAGACTTCCAAAAACAATGTTTCCAACGATTTGGACCTCCTGAAAGCAACAACCCAGTTGGTGAATTGCTCACGCTTCGACAAAATAGTAGAATTGAAATTTATCAACGTCGGTTTCAAGAAAAGTTGGCTAGGGGTGATGAGCTTATTCCAAAACACTTGCACGTGGCAATATTTATGGCAGGGTTGGATGATTCAATCAAATTGGACGTCCAATTGCTAAAACCACCTAACTTATCAACGGCTATGAGTGTAGCCAGCCAGGGCTTTAGAGCAAAAACAACAACTGCAAAAAGGGCAGCAGTCCCAGATAAGTCTTGGCAGCACAGTAAACTTGGCAAAATTTGCTACGAGTTCAGTCGATTCATTTAATACCAAGACCCGCAACCAGAACCCTTTGGTCAAGCAATTAACTCGTGCAGAAATGGCAGAGAGAAGAACTAAAATTATGCTATAACTATGACGAAATATATTCAGGTCGGTCACCAGTGCAAACGACTTTTTAGACTGGGATTGGATGATTCAGCAGACAATATTCCAGAAGTTCCGGATGATTGCATTTAAATTCGAGCTTGAGGACAAGCTATTTTTACGTAAGAAGGGGGTAATGATGTTGATGTGTTGAAAGTTAATTTAAGTATTCAATTATTTATTTAGTAGCTTATTCATTATTCTAGAATAGGGTTTACATTTCATAGTTTTATAAGAATTAGGTTAAGTTATAGTTATTACTTTCGAATAGGATTTAGGTCTCCTACTTTCATCAGAATTAGATTTTCTATTAATGTAATAAGACTCCTATTTATAAGGGCTTTTGATCAATTCCAGGTTTCAAAAAGAACGTGTGATTACAGAAACACTAATGGACTCTAAACTTGCAGCTACGGAACGACGTCTCTATGAAAGAATTGTCCAAGTTATTCAAGATCAATTTTCTAGCCTGGGAATTGGCTCTACAAAACCAGTAGTCCATGGGGAGAATCAAGTAATGCCCAGACAATTGGTAAATCAACAAACTAGTGGTAATTCCAATTCAATATACCAAGTTATGCAAAGATGAATTTTCCTACTTTAATGGTATCAACAACCCATTAATTTGAGCACATCGTTGTGAACAATTTCTTGAGCGATTTGGACCTCATAAAAATGGCAACTTGATGGGCGAAACAGTCAAGCTTCAGCAAATTTATAGTAGTGAAATTTATCAATGTCAACTTCAAGATAGGGCTGGAATTGGATAATTGAGCTTAAGGACAAGCTCTTCCAACGTAAGAGGGGGTAATGTTAGGGATGCGTTGGAAGTCAGTAATTTAAGTATTTAATTATTTCTTTAGTAACATTATTTATTATTCTAGAATAGGGTTTATATTTCATAGTTTAATAAGGATTACGTTAAGTTATAACTATTAGTTTGGTATAGGATTTAGGTCTCTTACTTTCATAAGACTTAGATTTCCTATTGATGTAATAAGACAACTATTTGAAGGGGCTTTTGATGAATAAATTAGCAAGTAATAACTCAAAAAAATCAAGAGATCACAATTCTCTCTTCTTCTTTTTTTTTTTTGAGAATGATAACGTTTTTTCCTATTCATCCACAGGTATACTACATCAAAGTAGCCCCCTCCAAAAGTATTACAAACTAGATCGACTCTATTTGTGCTTTTTGTCACAAATACTCTATAACATCAAAAAGTTTTTCTGCATGTACTAAAACTTTCTGTTTACACCAAAAACAATAAAGAGTTATACAATTCATCTTAAAATTCTGCAAATTGTTCTTCTTGCCCTCAAAACATCTTTGGTTCCTTTCTTTCCACATTGCCCACCATATACTGGGACAATCCTCCATCTCTCCTCCTTAATTGTAGTATTGCCTATATTGATCCAGCAATTTAGGAGTTGTGCTATGTTTCTTGGTTTCACCCAAGTGATCTTCCTAAGGCTGCTAAATATTCTCCATAATTGATATGTCCATTTGCAATGCAGAAAGAGATGATTGACTGTCTTTGCCTGTTCCTCACACAAATAGCATCTTGAGCATAGTTGGAGCTTCCTCTTCTTTATATTTTCTTGTGTCAGCACTGCTTCCTTTGTTAGTAACCATGTGAAGCAGTTTACCTTGTATGGGATTTTAGGTTTCCATACCATGACCAGAGGTCCTATCTATCATTTGCTGATCCTCCACACAACCTTGTCTTCTTCCCTAGTCAGATTACTAAATTGTGCCATTGTATCATGGAAAGCCACTGTATTCCCCATCCCCCAATCATTTAAATTCCTCCGAAGATGTAAGTTCCACCCCTGTCCTATCCACATTTCAGCCATAGTTGCATTGTGTTGCAAGCTCAGTGGATATAAGTCTGAGAATAATTTTTTCAGGGTTCTTTGGGCTATCCATCTGTCCTCCCAAAATGACACCTTCATTCCATTACCCACCTGGAATCTGATTCTAGAACGAAACAGAGGCCAAAGATTTCTTATTGATCTCCAGATACCACATTCATATGGTGTACTTAATCTGTCATCCACCTATTCTCCATTTCATATTTTGCCCTAATCACCTCTCTCCATAGCATATTCTCTCCTGTCATAAACTTCTAAAGCCATTTCAACGTTAGGCTTTTGTTTTGTTTCTTCATGTTCCTAATCCCCAGTCCCCACTCTTTCTTGTTTTTTTATGACCTCTTCCCACTTGACTAGATGAAATTTCTTGTCTTCATTTCCCTGCCAAAAAATATTTCTTCTCAAAGCATCTATCCTCTGTATGACCTTGTCTGGGAACACAGACATCATATAAGCAGGTATTGCATCTAGCACACTATTAGCCATGGTTAATCTACCTCCCCTAGATAGATATTGGTTTTTCCAATTGGTTAGCTTCCAGATCCCTATTGATTTGCTCTTTCCCCCCAACAGCATACTTAGGCATATTGTTAGTAGTTCCCCTACTCTACCACCCGAAACCCTTGCCAGACTCTCCACCCGAGCCACTTCATTTATGGGATAAATGGAACTCTTCCCCCAGTTGATATGAAAATCAGAGATTGCTTCAAAGATGATGAATATTACTCCTAGGATCAACATTTGCCCCGTCATAGCTTCACAAAAAATGAGAGTATCATCTGCATATTGCAGATGGGTAATCTCTAAGCCATTTTGTGCACTGTTGTTTACCTTAAAGCCCCTTATCCAACTCTTCATCTTTGTTGTGTGAATTAGGTTACTCAAACCTTCCATGGCTAAGATGAATAAAAAGGGTGATAGGGGTCACCTTGTCTCAGTCCCCTTTGGGATGGAAAGAAACCACTAGGAGTTCTATTAACTAAAATAGCTTCTAATGAATTCTAAGGTTTCAGCCTCCCTTTAACAAGTGGATTTATATATCGCCCTTTGAATTGATTCTTCCCTAAATATTCATATCATTGATGCACAACTATGTAGTGTCCTATGGCAATTTATTGATTTCAAGTTGATGCCCAAGTTTCATCCATTCCAAACATGTTATTCAGTTTGGGAAAAGGCTCGTGCTGTATACACTAATGACATATCTCGATTCTATGATGTGATATCGCGTATGATCAACTTAAAGGGAAAAGAATCAGATATGTCCACCTACTTGGGACAAGTATGGCAGTCATGGAGGAATATGAAACATTGATGCCAATCACCACGGACGTGCAAAAACAACAAGTGCATAGACAAACATTGTTTCTAGTTCTTACGGTTGCTAGACTTCCTACTGACCATGATTCAGCGTATGATCAGATTTTAGTTATTCCTACAATTCCTAACATTGATGAATTATCCTCTTGTCTACTTCCACTTGTCACGCCTCCTAGCCACAAAGTAGTTTCATCACCGAACATTGATTCATCTGCTCTCGCATCTCAAACCATAGAAAAACGAGCATATCCATCTATGGAGACTCGACGAGGAGGTCATCTTGGAAAACCTCAATGCAAGTGTAGTTATTGTCACAAGTCTGGACACACTCGTGACTCGCTTTATCCTTTTGTAATGATAGAAAACATCATGCCTACTAGGAAGCCTGTCTGGCATGGGGATTTGCTTGAGTGGGACATAGATAGCCTCTTTGGCTTTATGAGGGCATATGTGGTATGCTATGTCTTAATTTGCATGGTCCACCACCCAATTATGATCCTGTTCTAAAGGAATATAATGAGTTCCTTCGTAATCGTGCAAGTAAGAAGACATCTCCACACGAATCATTTGTTGCTCCGCTTGACCGACCATCCCATAATGCTCATATTGCTCAATTAGAGTATAATGAGTTTCTTCAATATCGAGCAAGTAAGCAAACGTCTCCACAAGTAGCTTCGGTTGTTCAACATGATGTTGTTGCGAGAAATTAATTTGCTTGTGTGTCATAGTCTAATACTCATGGATCATGGATTATGGACTCGGGCGATTCTGATCATATTTATGGTAACAAATCACTTTTGTTGGATATTGTTTATTCAATCTCTTCATGCTATTACTTTAGCTGATAATTTGGTCAATGGGATACAAACAAAACCAAAAGGGGTTGGGAAAGCCACACCTCTGTCTTTTGTCACTTTATACTCTTTTCTTTATGTCCCTGGTTCTCCTTTTAATCTAGCATCTGTTAGTCGTTTGACACGCCCTACATTTGTAGCATAACCTTTTCTGATGATTTTTTCTCATGCAGGACCGTCGTACGGGACAGACGATTGGCACAGGACATGAATCACAAGGCCTTTAAGTATCTTACCTCTTTAAATTCCTTCACAACATGCTCCATTACAAATCCTCCGGACCTCAATCACAAACGTGATGGTGCCTAGTTTATCCAAATTAGATTGCGAGTCCTGTCAACTTGGGAAACACAGTCGTGCCACATTTTCACCTGGTATTGAGGGTCGTTCAGAGTCTATTTTTTCATTAGTTCATTTTGATAATTGGGCTCCTAGTAGAATCAGTTCCACCTTAGGATTTCGTTGTATTGTTAGCTTCATTGATGATTATTCGAGATGTACTTGGGTTTTCTTAATAAATGATGTTATTTTCTATATTCAAAAGCCTATTTGCTAAAATACAAAATCAGTTTGGTGTTTCTATTCATACTTTTGTAGTGATAATGCCTTAAGAATACTTATCATCTCAATTTCAAAAGTTCGTCTCACAAAGGAATTATTCATCAATCATCTTGTCCATACACTCCTCAACAAAATGGTGTAGCAGAAAGAAAGAATAGGCATCTCATTGAGACTGCTCGTACTCTCCTCATTGAATCACTTGTTTTGCTTCGTTTTGGGGGCGATGCAGTCCTTTCATCTTGTTATTAAATTAATATAGTGCCTGCGTCTTCTATTCAAAATCACATTCCATATTGTATCCTCAGTCACATCTCTATTCTATCCCTCCTCGTGTATTTGGGAGCACATGCTTTGTTCATAACTTAGCCCAATGAAAAGATAAATAGCCTCTCGTGCTCTTAAATGTGTCTTTCTTGGTTAACCTCGAGTTCAAAAAGGGTATCGTTGCTATTCACATGATCTCCGCCAATATCTTATGTCTGCCGATGTAACCTTCTTTGAATCAACCTTACTACACGTTTTCTGATCATCCAGATGTGTCTGAAGTCTTGCCTCCTTGTACCGACTTTCAAGGGACCTACGGTTACTCTCCATTTCCAGTTGCAGTGCCACCAATCCTAACTTATCACTGGCGTCCACGTCCAACAATAGTCTCAAATGATTTATGTCATGCGTCGAACCCTCTGCTCCCACATTATACTTTCTTGAGTTATCATCGTTTATCTTCACCTCATTATGCCTTTGTATAATCTTTTGTCCTCTATTTCCATCCCTAAGACTAATGGAGAAGCTCTTTCTCATTCTGGATAGAGGCAGGCTATGATTGATGAGATGACTACTTTACATTTGAGTGGTACTTTGAGAGCTTTGTGTCTCTTTTCCTTCAGGTAAGTCTACTATTGGTTCTTGTTGGGTTTATGCAGTCAAAATTGGTCCAGATGGTCAAGTCGGTCAGCTTAAGGCTTGCCTTGTTGCCAACCAAAGGGTATACTCATTTATTTGGGCTAGATTATAGTGACACTTCTACTCATGTGGCCAAAATAGCATCAGTTCATCTTTTTCTATCTATGGTTGTCATTCGTCGTCGGCCTCTTCATCAGTTTGACATTAAAAATGTCTTTCTGCATGGTGATCTTGAGGAAGAAGTATATATGGAGCAACCACTTGGTTTTGTTGCTCAGGGGAGTCTAGAAGCCTCGTATGTCGATTGCGTCGGTCACATTATGGTTTGAAATTGTCCCCTCGATCTTGGTTCAGAAAGTTCAGCACAGTAATTCAGGAGTTTGGCATGGCTGGCAATGGAGCTGATCACTTTGTGTTCTATCGACGTTCCTCACCAAATATGTGTATTTACTTGGTGGTTTGTGTTGATGATATCATTATCACCGACAATGATCAAGTCGGTATCGCTAATTTGAAGCAGTATCGCTTTTAGCATTTCCAAACAAAAAGACCTCGGCAGACTAAAGTATTTCCTAGGTATTGATGTTGCTTAGTCTAGATCATGTATTGTTATTTCTCAACGCAGGTATGCTTTAGACATTCTTGAGGAGACGGGAATGATGTAAACCTATTGACACTTATGGATCCGGATGTTAAAACTCCCCAGGACAGGGGAACAACTTAGTAATCCTGAAAGGTATATACGGTTGGGTGGAAAGTTTAATTATCTTACGGTGACTAGACCAGACATCTCTTTTGCTGTGAGTGTCGTAAGTCGATTTATGACTTCTTGTGATAGGGATGCAATTTTTCAAATTCTGCGATATATAAAGTCAGCTCCTTGTAAAACACTACTCTTTGAGGATCAAGGCCATGAGCATATCACAAGTTATACAGACGTTGATTGGGAAAGATCACCCTGTGATAGACGTTCCACATCCGAATATTGTGTTTTAGTAGGAGGAAATTTGGTGTCATGGAAGAGTAAGAAACAAAGTGTGGTTGCTCGATCTAGTGCAGAAGCAGAATATCGAGCAATGGTTGTAGCAACTTGCAAGCTAGTTTGGATCAAACAATTGCTTGGAGAAATGAAGTTTGGAGAAACCGGTCATATGGAACTTGTGTAAGATAATCAAGCTGCCCTTCATATCGCATCAAATTTTGTGTTTCATGAGAGGACTAAACACATTGAGACTGATTATCACTTTGTAAGAGAAAAGATACTCTTAGGAGAATTGTTACTAAATTTGTGAAGTCAAATGATCAACTTGCTGATATCTTCACCAAGTCCCTCATCGGTCCTCATATTAATTACATTTGTAACAAACTAAGTACATATAATTTGTATGCACCAGCTTGAGGAGGAATGTTAGAATATAATAGATATACTAAATCCTACACAAAAAAGTTTCCAGTCTCCTATTTGGTAAGGAATTGTATTGCAGTGTCTATAATAATATTCTTCCCCAATATTTCTTCCAGTTTTCACCTAAAATGTATCCACATGTTAAAAGGCAGAAGTGCAGGAGGTGACCCGTTGAGCTTTAAGAGCTGCTAAAATATACTGAAATTGCTAAAATATACTGAAATTGCATACCTGAGGGCAAGTACCCTGTGAAATGATGCAGTGACGCCTCGTCCAAATCCAGCAGGGTAAACGGGTTTATTTGCAGAGCCAAAAATCATGACCTAGCCAATCAATAACCGTCTTAAGGTAACGAAAATGTTTTCTAACAAGAAAGAGGCAAAATCATAACATAATAAGTTCAGAAGATGAAAAGTAAAAAGAAGATACCATCTTATGGTCCATTAAAACGTGGACACATATACTGATAGTTCCTTCTAAGAATAGTGACGGACAAACACCACAAATGCTCTCGCACCTCAAATGTGCGGCATATGATTTTCCATCTGAACAATGAACAGCCTTGATTTGCCCATGAATAGATGTTAGGTTTCCCTCTGGCAAATTATGATCAGAGGGGCAGATGTTGGTCATTTCTCCAAATGGAATAAGAGGCTCGAGAGAACAGTTCTCCAACAACACCAAGTTAACATTAAATAAGTTTGTGACATCAGATGGCATATATAAGTTGACATCTGAAGAGATATCATTGCTTCCATTAGGCAAAGAGTTTGGAATTTGAAACTGATGATAGCCTTCTGGAAGATCATTATTGTGACTTAAAAAGGAACCGGACTGTTGAAGCAAGCAGGATACATCAAAATTTTGGTGAACATTAGCAGATGAAAAAGAAATGCTCCAAATGTAGGTTCCCGAATTCACAACTATTGCATCAGTACCAAACATATCTTCTTTCTGATGGTTTATAAGGTAATGACCACCAATTTTTAACCTCTGCAACATCAATGAACAAAAGTTGTGTTTATGTTGTTTAACTTAAATTGTATGTCATAAATATGCCAGACATCAGAACAAATAGGAATGAGATGGCATACCTCATAAACAGATAAAGCTTCAGACTTAAATTCCAGCAATGCCCTTCTCACTTGTGGTTTGGAGCAAGACCCCATATCTGTTCTGGTGTTTGTGTGGTGCAACATACCAAGGAAAGGATAATTAACACAGTTTCCCGTCACAAGACACGGGATCTCCTCTGGACAGCATGCGTAAGCAGGGTGGCTGGAGCTGTAACTCGGTTCATTTCCAGTATCATTGAATGCAGATGTCAAAGCGTCATTAGACAGTTGATCAGGCTTTTGTCTTTTGCATGCAATGAGCTTTCCAATTTCCATTCTATTAAAAAATTTCATTGGTTGCTTCAATTGGTCTATCAAAGGCTCTTCAATACAGGTATCTATGTTGTTGCCAGCAATAAGTAAATCCCAAGGCAAAATTAAGGCCTCAGCAAATGTGCTTGATGTATTTGAAGCATGTTGACTTCCTTGAAACTGATGCTAACATATAACAGACTGATTATTTTTGTTGTCTCAAACTAGTAAGACGAGCACTATTTTTTGCAAGACACATACCTTTTGCAGAATAGGGAATTTGTGCATCAACTGAAGTAGATGATACTTTCCACGTCCAACTTTCGGAAAGTCAACTTGTGAATGTGCAGAGGTAGTAAAATGATGTACAGGATTTAGGTTCCTCAGGTTGTAGTACAAAAGCAGTGGCCTGTTCATCTCTCTCACAAGTGGAGCATTCACAAAAATACTTCTACACGTGAAAGGTTCATTTTGGAGTAAATCCACATGACCCAACTTCATGGGTATGTCTTCCATAATTGCCAAAAAATTTCTGACCTGAGAGAGAAATTAATTTGTGGGAAAGAAAAATGAAAATAAATAGTGGATGAAACAATTTCTACCACATAGCATTTATAGTGTTGGGCCACAAATGATCAGGAAATGAGAAGCACCAAATGAAAGAAGATTAATGTTGCATGAAACCTCATATATGTTATTGATATTCAAACTTGATGGAAGATCTGGTATGATAACATCAATGCTTCCAGTTGCATCAACAAGCAACATCCTTCCAGACGATTGTGAGACCTGGCTGAATGAAAAATTATGATGATAATATTTGGTAAGTTTATAAGAAATATGAAGTCGGAAATAAAGATACTTTAGAGTTTAGATATCAAATACCCAAAATTGATGATAACGGCATGGACAGCATACATCATAGAGCTTTAGAGGAGCTTATGGACACCAAATAAAGACATATACTGTGTTGAAGGTTCATCAAAGTGAAGAGAAAAAAGAGGTCATGTGTTCAAATGGCCATCTCATAAATTCAAGAACTAACAAAAGAAAGACAACCAAACGAGGCCCTTATCTCATTATGCGTAAAATTGTAAAGAAAGTGACTTCTTTATTTCCTTAGTGTAATAGTAGTCATTTGTCATTTGGAAGACTTAGTATGTTGAATGTTTGAAGTTGAAGTTGAATACTCTCGAATTCTAGTTGCTAGCTTTAGTGCTTAGTGTAATTCCCTAAAGGAATTAGTGGGTGATCAGTGGTTAACTCTTAGAATTGATATTTAGCTTCTTTTGGTTTGATTAATCGAAGGGTTACCCATTTGTGGTTCTTAGTTTCCTTTGATTTTCCTTGCTTGGGTTTAATTTAGGTTGTTGAACTCAATTGGTATGTGAGGGTTTTAGCCCCTTGTTAGCTTGAATCTTAATCGATATCCTTTTTATTTCCTTTCCTTGTTTGATTATCATCAGTTAAAAAAGTAGGAAGCTACAATCATGTTAAACTTCTTGTAGCCTCTTCTGTGTACAAAGAATGATGCTAGTAAATGAGGTTTCAATTTATACAGATTAATCCAATAAAACTACTTTTCTTTTACTATGGTCATAAATTAAGAGGTCACCAATAGGCAATAGTTAGGAAATCTACCTACCACATAATGTCATAATAGGCTCCTAAGTTCTGGCAAATATATCATTGAAAACACAAAAAAGGAAGTACAAATAAAAAATTCAGACCTTTAAGATTCCAAGCAAAGAAACACCTATGTCTTCACTGTGAATGGCTTTCCTTATAGACAGCACATACTGTCTGCCATCACAAGATATGGAGTTGCTCTCCTTTTGAGTACCCATGATACCAAAATCAGTGTCCTGATGGCAAATCATTTTCATCCACGTGCCCTCCCAAGAATTAATTAAATTAGCGATAGGTGCAACCTGAAATTGATTGAACAATGATTATTATATTTTATGTAGCTTTGTTTTGATTTCTAGAAAATTAAAGCAGTGTCTCCAACCCCAAACCCCAGAAAGGAAGACCTTCAGATAATGAAAATTTCATAAAATCTGCGAACTTACCAACTTCAAAGAAACAGAACTTCTTTCCCTGCCACACGCACATCTATCATGCTTGACAAATTCCATGAACACCCCATGCTGCCAAACAAAAAAATATTAACAAATGAGTACAGTACGAAGACTCAATTTATATGCTCACCCAATGATAACACACTTGCCCGAATTTGGAAGACTGAAGGGGGTAAATATGAAGTTGCATATGTCTGAGCCAATCCTTTCCTCTGGCAACACCTTGCAATTGCGCACATCAGCTAAAAACAGTTTTGTATGACACTGGGCACAAAGAAAAGATATTAAGATAATACAGAGACTAATAGCTTGTTTGGCCAAGCTTCAAAAATCAGCTTATTTTAACATAAAAAAGTACTGTTTCCAAAAAGCAGACTGTGTTTGGCCAATAAATTCCAAAAACACTTTCAAGCAGCAACTAGTGTTCGGCCAAGCTTTTCAAAGAGCTTCTGAGTGCATATTTCTCAAAAGTGCTTTTCAAAAAAGTACTTTCTAAGGAAAAGCTACTTTTTTTTTTACATATTGCAAAACAGCTTCTAATACTATCCAGAAACGCATATTTCTCCCAAATGCTTGGTCAAACACCTAACCCTTCTAAACTAAGCACTTTTGGCCTCCAAAAGCTTGGCCAAATAGGCTATAAGTTCTAATGTATATCTCTGGTAAGGCAAGCAACTTACATTTGTTGATCCCAAGATCTCTTTCTCAGATAAGATCCCAGAGAACTTTCTCCTTAAACAGATGATGACAAGTAATACCCTGAAAGCAAATGAAAAGACCATCATATCAATGATAATATTAAAACAGACACAAAATCATTTTGATGATTGTTACTCTTGCTTTACTACCATAGCCGGGCAACAAACACCAAGGAGTCAATGAACTTCGCAAGAAGACTCTCACAGCAGGTCACTGTATAACACCTGTGAGCCCCACAAATATTGAACAGGTGAATAAAATTAATACGCAGGTACGGTGGAATCATTTACGAGGAGTTCTTAGGAGACTTAACCCGGCCTCCAGCAAGGAGAAACATTCCACAGAAATGCTAGTTTTAACACAAGAGCCGAGTATAAGTGTCTTTGTCCATGAAAATTTTGGATTTACAACATGAACGTTTTTCACTGATACCTGAACAAAAAGGTACCCATTAAGAGACTAAACAAATGACAAAAATCTTTAATTTTCTTATCAAAGTAAAAATTACATTTTACCATTTTAGAAAACATACCATTGCGCCAACTCTCACACTATGTGGAACGGAAAGATGCTGATCAGTTAACAATAGCAACAGTTCATTATCCAACTCAACAATCATACCCCTCATGTAAATTCCTGTCACAGTTCCTGTATAACTAACAAGTTCTCCTTTTCCTCTCACATCAGTCTCCCTAAGGGGGAGGGGCAACTTAGGAATATGCATCAAAGAATTATCCACAACTACATACATCAATTGAGACACTTTTTTTCCCACAAATACAAGTCTCTTCTTCAATCCCGATATTGAAACATTTCTCTTTATCAGTCTTGAAAGAACTGGATGCCAAGAAGAAGCAGAGCCACAAAAGTATACAATCTCAAGTTTGTTATAACAATGATCATTTGAATTCCGCATATCGAATCTTATATTATATTTAGAATTACACAATTTACAGCCACAAACTAAAATATTAACGAGGAACCCCCGAAGATTCTCAGTAGTATCAGCTGTGGAGCCAACTCTGCATGGAACTACCGAAAGTATAGAAAAAGTATCCGAAGATGCAGAAGTAGAATCAAGAAAAGCCCAGCGAATAATTTCTAAGAATCCACCACCATTAGCATTAGCATTAGCATTACAGTTGAAGGGTATGAAATTCCAACCTAAAATTTGAACCTTTTTGTTAATCATAGAGGGATTAAACCCAAGAATGTCACAACAAATAGTGTCATAGCCATCAGAGAAACGAAAACAATTGCAGTTGAGAGGTGAATCGTGTCCATCTCCATGAGGAGGTAGAAAAAGGATTCCAGTAAGAAGAGTTGGGTAGTTAAGGGATTTGAGTATTTTGTGGGAACACAGTGTGGGAGTGGTGAGGGAGGGTAAAAACTGGGGTGATGGAATTCTCGGACAAGGACTGGAAATGAGTGACCATGCGCCGGTGCGAGGACGACATTCACGGACTAGCTCCGCGATTGTTAGGGATTTCGCGCTTCCTTCCCCCATCTTTTCATTTGCTTTCGTTCACATTTTGTTTTCCCTTATATATATAAAATAATATTAATATATAAATCAACAACAATTCCGGGTATATATATACTAGATAATTGAAGGCTCGTTTATACGCTTAATATAATCAATTATCTTTTTAATTTTAATTTAAAAGTTTACCTAAATTCATATATTATTTTATTATAGTTTCTTAAATTTTCTACCATTGAAAAAAATTACAAAAATTCCCTCTCAGCTACATTTCTATCCTCTGTATACATCACTATCTCATCTCGGATACATCTCTATCCTTTCTCGGATATATCTTTATCCCCTCTTGAATTCATCTTTACTCTCTCTTGGATACATCTCTCTCCTTTCAGATACACCTATATTCCCTCTCGAATACATTTCTCCCTTTCTCGAATTCATCTACAAGATATGTGTCTGCAAGTTTTCTGAATAGTATCACGATCGATGTTTCCGCATTTCTACTTATGAATCTATGAATTTTTTCTATGGTTTGTTTTAAACCACGAATTTTAAAAGTGATTTTTTTAAAAAAAAATACTTCATGATAAGTCAAATAAACATTACATAAATCAAAATGGAGTGAGTACAAACTTTAGATCAATTTTATATTTATGAAATTTAAGTTTTTTTTTTTAACTATTTTACCTTTTAACAAAATTTAAAATGAAAATACTAAAGTTTCTTCACAATTATTTTATAGTATTTTTTTATCAATATTCAGTCGATAATATCAAAATTGTAATAAAAATAAGGTAATAAAGTACCTTAATTTTGAAATAAAGTATTGATATCAATTGAGAAAACATTTATTTTTAAGTTGTAAAGCATTCATAATCTAATATTTAATATGCTCCTTACTCTCGACGAATGATACTAATTTATCATAATATAAGATTGTAAGAAGTAAAAATCAAAATTAAAAAGTACAACTCACTATTACATGAAGGTGTTAATTGTCATTCGTTAGAGATATATCATATGTTAATTGTTATAATGAAACAACATAAAAATTATAAGAGATAATCTATTTATAGTTGAAAATTTTTATTTATGAAAAATGGAGTACAAATTATATATTTAAATACGGAAAAGGGCCTAAAATACTCTAGAAGTATTGAAAATGGTACAAAATTACCCTTCATCCACCTATTGGCTTCAAAGTGCTCTTTTCATCCACATATTGACTCTAAAATACCCTTGTCATCCACCTCTGGGTTCAAAATTGACTACTTTTTTAATTGTTTTAAAATTAAACTCTTTAAATATTTTTTAAAATACTTGGCGTTCAACTATTGGTTATAATTTTAATTTATTAATATAATTTATAAACCAACCCACTACTCATTCATTACTAACTAAACCTCACCCAATTAATAATTCAATTATAATATCAAAATCATCATAAACACTACTAAAACACAATAAAATTATAGAATCCTGAAAATGACATCCAAAATTATTCGAGTCTGAATCGAAGTCCCAATTAAATTTAGGTCGAGCCACTTATTTAGGAGGACACTTTCTTTCAAAATTGAATTAGAAATTTATGATTAAAGGTAAAGAAGTAATGCATCTCGAATTAATTCATGCACTTTTTTGAAATATAATTTTATAAATATTTATGATTTGTTTTAAAACCTTTAATATATTATTTTGAAAAAAAAGTTACCTATGCAGTAACATCACGTAATTGAGACGTAAGAATAATTAAGATGAACATAGTCAGACTTTTAAGTTTATCGGTGATTTTTATTTAGCCACTTGAATGTATGATAATTTATTTCTATAGCTATTTTCGCCTCAAATTTTTAAAAACACTCAATTGGCAGTAGCTTGCATTAATAATGTGACGGGTTTATTAATTTAGAGGGGTTTAATTAGCAATGGGTGGGTAGTGGATTGATTTATAAATTATACTAATAAGTTAAATTATGACAAATAGTTGAGCGCCACGTATTTTAAAAAATATTTAAATAGTTTAAATATAAAATCGTTAAATAAGTTGCTAGTTTTGAACCAAAAGGTGGATGACAAGGGTATTTTGAACCCAATAGGTGGGTGTGAAGGGTATTTTGGAGCCAATAAATGGATGAAGGGTAATTTTGTATCATTTTCAATACTTTGAGGGTTTTAAGCCCTTTTCCGATTTAAATATGTTTATGTCATATACATATTAGTACAAAGAAATTTCACACTATAAATTTATTTAATTATTTTAATATGTAATTTATTTTATTATGAAAATTTACAAATTTGATGTTTTATGAAAAATTGGTATGAAGATTTTTATATGCCCTCATAGTAAGTAGTTTTTTACTTTATAATATAGAGAAAGATTAGTTAAAATAAGTTTATCAAGTCAATTAACCATATTAGTTATAATATATTAATATAATTTTTTTTTTAGAAAAACATCACATAAATTAATATTGTAGGTCTTAACAAATCATTAATTTCGAATTACATTTAGACCTATAAAATCATGAGTATGTTGTAAAAACAAAATTTTATACTATATAGAAAATAAATCTATAAGAAGTGTAATATCTCGTTAAAATAGACTAATTATTAGTCTATATTCAAAAAATTTAAGAAAAAAGTGTGATTGAAAATGTGGGTCCATATTAAATGTCACATCTTAGGATAAGATAAAAATGACATTTAGGAAAATATATTTGATTGTTTGGTCATTACAAATCTATTATCACTTTCTTGATATCATCATACAGAAACAAACATTCTAAATTTTTTATGAATTGACATATTTACCCTTAGTCGTCCTCAGCTTGGCTCTTCTATTAAATAATAATAATAATATTGGGAGAGTATTCAACCAGAGTGTCTTGAGAAAATTGAATAAAATGAGTGTTTTGTTTTGTTTTGGTGACACTTTGATCAAGAAAAGGTCTAACCCACTTTAAAATGTAATTAATTTAATCTGCCAAAAGATTAATACTTTCTAATCTTTTATAAAAACAATATATTTTTCAACTATTTTAATTCTATTCAAACCATTTTTTTAAAAAAAGTAAAAGAAGATAGAATTTTCTCTTCTTCTTCTCTCCATTGTTCTTCCCTTCTTCTTCTTCCTTAGAAAATCTTACTATAAACAAATGTTCTCCTCATTATCTTCCTCCTCATCTGGCATCGTCTCTCTCTTTTTCTGAACTGAAGGTTGTGTTCGACTTAAATATCTATCTATCTATCTATCTATCTATCTATCTATCTATCTATCTATCGATCTATCGATCTATCGATCTATCGATCTATCGATCTATCTATCTATCTATCTATCTATCGATCTATCTATCTATCGATTTATCTATCTATCGATCCATCCATCTATCCATCCATCCATCTATCCATCCATCCATCCATCTATCTATCCATCCATCCATCTATCTATCTATCTATCTATCCATCTATCCATCTATCCATCTATCTATCTATCCATCCATCCATCCATCTATCCATCCATCCATCCATCTAGCTATCCATCTAGCTATCCATCTAGCTATCTACCTAGCTATCTACCTACCTACCTACCTACCTACCTACCTACCGACCTACTTACTTAGCTACCTATCTACCTAACTAACTACCTACCTAACTACCTACCTACCGACCTACCTAACTACCTACCTAACTACCTACCTACCGACCGACCTACCTACCGACCTACCTATATCACATATTCATGTGTTCCCTTTATTGGTTATTACTCCCCTTGTGTTAGACTATAATATAACCTCATAAGATGTCCACTTGCTTTATTGTACATTTTATATTTACTTACTTGGAATATGTATCCGTATTTAAGTTGAATCTGTCCACATTCTTCCTTGGTTCCACATTCATGTATACCTTGTCTTTGACATTAGTTAGTGAGTATTTCGCTATCATATAAAGTTCAAATCTCTTGGCTGAAAGTTAAATGTCTTCACTTGATATGTGCTTCAATTTGAGATGTCAAAATGCTTACTGAGTCATCGAAGCTCCTAAGTATTACATTGGTGTCACATTTGCTTCCCACGTCATTGTCATTATCGTAAGTCCATATTTGTATGTCTTTTAGTACTGGTCCATAGTTCCAAATCTCAATAATGATTTTGATCACCAAAACTACAATCTCAAAAGCATTATGATTATCCAAAGAACAATCTCAAAAGAGTTATGAACATCAAACAACAATCTCAAAGGTCATCCTCTCTTACCACTGATCACCTGGTCATTTGTATCATATGTCTAAATATTATAATGCACGGAAAATTAAAGAATGTAACATACACAATTCCACAAGTATAAACAAAGATGGTCTTTAATCCTTATCAATTGATATTTGGTTTTTCTTGAGCTCTCATTTCACTTATGGTTTTATTATGCCTCACATATTCAGTACATTTGTTCATATTGACATATTGGGACGCTGGATTTCATGCTGCAGGTACAAGTACTCAACTAGTAGATCTCCCTAATAGAAAGCACATTATACTTAACGGCTGTGGGTGAGCTCCAGGTTGATTCATGGCTTTGCCTAGTCTTTACTATGCGTATTTTCATAGTGGTACCGTCATGGATTCCAGTAGAGGCTTTGTAGACATTGTAAAGCTATCACTTGTAATCATACTTTCACTTATCACTTATATTGGTTCAGCTAGTCAACATGTGTTGTATATGAAGCTTCTCATCAGTAACTCTATCTGCATCGTGTTTAATTTTTCATCATAGGTCACTTGTAAAGCATGTGTTCATATGGTACTTGTCTGCCTCACCTAGGGGGTGTGACAGAAGTAACAAAATCATCCTAAATATCAATATACCACTACTATTATTTTTCAAAATATACATTGACAATGCTAGTGTTTTTCTTGAAAAACGAGGATAAAAATTGTTGACATAATCAAAGGGTTGAGTATACCCGTTGAACTACCTTGGCACAAATTGTAATGGAATCATTCTAAATATCGATATACCACTACTAATTTTCATTTTGTTTCTTTA